TTTTACTCGGTATAACATTGAATTGTTAAACTTTACCATTAACGTGTGTCCAACACAATTTAAATCATTCGCGACAGGGAATCCCCTTGAATCACGTCACGGCGAGTAGCGTGCCACTAATCAGAACCATTCGTCGATGTACTAGACTATGTAAGATGATTTTTTTTAATATGATGTCACTGTAAATTTAATGAACGAATAAGTTTGGTAATCGTTGCTGATATACCATTCTTGAAACTGAAAATAGTTTCATTACTTTATCTTTCGTTATTCCCGACCACCCATGCTGGTTTGGTATATCGCGACTTACTAGGAGTCAACCACTTTAGACAGTCTACCAATGCCTCGGGCGTACAATTACCAATTTCGTTATATTTAATTTACACCTTAAATGATGATGATGATCAGGAAAAAATAATAATTTCCCTGCAACTAACAACTAACACAAAAATGTATTTTTTCTAACCACAGCTAAGTGACCTTTAACCTAGGGCAAGTGCTACGTCAAACAGCAAGCGATCGATCGTAGTTCAAACTTTGATTGCCACCCCACCGGCTTTGTGTACAAACACACGAAGCGTAGAAGTGACCAGTGATCAGTTTGTTTGCATGGTGGGAGTAATTTGAAAGCACTTTAGCTCTGCCATTGGTCCCCCCGATCTGCATCTTTTCAGGGCAACCCATCGGCGCCATGTGGACGTAATCACATCTTGCAAAATACCAGCCTGCACTTAAGAGGCAGTCGATAGGCGACCAGGACACTGTATTTGTTACCGTATAGTTTAAATATAAGCCGGAATCTAACAAGGCCTTGAAAACATCACAAATTCTTGGTGTTTAGACTCCCATGTAGATATGCACAGCGTGGAAGACAAGTTCGTAACAGAAATGATCCCCATGCACGTGTCTGTCTCGATATAATACCGTATTTTGCTAACTGTGTGAAATGATAGCCAACCGCGGGTAGTGTGGAGGTGAAGAAAATCAGAGTGAGGTACTAATTGAGAAGAATTTCGTTCAATGAAAATATATCCTAAAAGAATATTACAAAAAAAAATTACATGTGGGTTGATTCTGTTAAGCATGTACCTTTGCTAAATATGGTTCAGCCGAAATATTATAGAAATCGGTTGCTATGACAATGTCTCCCCACAAGACACTTTCTCAGTACAACATCAACGTTGTCATATGAAATCTTACATGTAATAACTCATTGAAGGCAATTTTGTTTAACATTTCGTGTTTGATCATAACCAGGTACATAAGCGATGGTCTGGGTGTTGGTCACTGGTGTTTCGGTTAATATCAACTTGACAAAACATAAGTAACAACTATAATCATCATCAATATTAGAGTAATCGATTTCATATGTTTCATTTCCATTTTTTTTTTATTTTACAAAATTTCCATCGCCATGACGATAGCGCGTTGTAAACAAAACCAATATATTTATAAATCAATATTTGGGAATCCGAATCTAGCTAACTTTTCATGTGAAATAAAACAGATTGTTGAATGAAGTGACTAAACGTGAAGAAGGGAAAGCAGACCACTCAACCGAGTTAAAAACATTTGTATGGTAACCGCTGGCGGAGGGAATGCCAGAATGATATGACATACTTGATGCGATGACGAGACTTTTAAGTTGAAGTTGTTGAGAAAAAGTGCTCGCCAAGTGGAAAAATTAGTTAGAGCGCTGTAATAGTAATATGTAAGTCAAGTACCGATCCTTCCAATAAAATACACACGTGGATGGAATAAGGGAGGATTGGTAACGAAGAAAACAAAACATATTTTGTTTTTAATTATACGGATGAAGAATTATCCTTAACTTCGATGGGATATTTCTTGATTGTTTGGGAAATTATAATTTGTGATATTGACGTTCGATATATTTGCATTTTATTAGCATTGTGGCAATTACACATTTTATTTCTGTTTCTTGCTCATTGGAGCTTAAGACGAATTAATGTGAATACCGCTATCAATAGATACACCGGATATATTTCCCTACTAGTTTGACTTAAGTCGATATATATATATATATATATATTAAACACGATGTGTGTGATCCTTAACATGATGAACTGATGGCAAATTCACCGTGTGAGTTTGCGGGCTCAAATTAAAAATTCATTCAGATACAAGTGATTTTGATTTCGAGACTGTGCAGGCTGTGGTCGTATTCATTTTGGTAACCCAAATCGCTCTTCGCCAGTTTATAAGCGATGAATGTAACGCGAAGCTTCTCAAAAAAAAATCTGAAAACCACTTTGAAACGTAAAGAGTTCGGTTCATTCTAGTGTGAGTTTATGGAGAAGGCAATAAAATGCCGTTGCTATTTGTGATTGACAACTGTTCATATGTCAATCTGTGTGGTCGAATAGAGTAATCAACTTCGTGTCGGACATTACATGTATATTAGTTATTAATTCCGTGGCTTTAAGATCAGCTCAGTCCCGGTGGAGAACAGTCAATGCTTTTAGCGGAGAAGGCGGGCATTTTCACCGCAGAATCCAAGCGAATTTTCTCCCAGTGTTGTGTCTAACACTGTCCAAATATTTGTTTTATGTGATACACTCAATCAGGGCTACTCTTTCAAAAACAACTTTCACTCGGCGAGTTTGTAGGAAAGATGGCAACATAATCCAACCTTTGTTTAGAGCTGCCGGTGAGATTGAGACCTAAGGCGACTGGGTCCATAATAATGAGAAAATATCTTAATTCTCCGTTGAGGAAAACAACCATGGCTGAATACTGATCGAAAGGGTTCTTTGACCAGAGTCAGAATTGCTGTATACCACGAGAATGCTACAATGCTTTGATTTTAGTTCAAACTATGTTGCGAATGCATATTAAGAGACTTAAACTAATTCGGGAAGTTTTTTTGCGTGGTACATTTTCCCGATCAGACAATATATTCTACGCTTTGGCTGATCCTAGATGTAACTGACTTTTCACGACAATTGGCAAATTGTTTTCCTGCCCAATAACAACGGTGATTTTTTTTTGGTTTCAAAACATAGTATTGAAGTTATGCAAGGTGCGCTTAAAAGCTTGATGTATGTCTTGTTGCAGGAAATATTTTACTAAAATCTTACATCCGGGTATTATCCAGAGAACCTTATATTCTATGACGTTTCATTGCACACAACTGCATCCATGTCAAAAATTACAAAAAAAATCATCTGAGATATAAACCACATGTTTATTGGTAGCGCTATTAATAACTACGAATGGGACCCTGTGTGGAAGCAATGAAAGACGTTGCGAAAATAGTACGTTCGATATATTACAGAACATCATTACGACCGAAAAAGACAAATAAATACACACTTCAGTCTCTTTAGCTGGCAGAGTGCGTAATAGAGGGGGGTCAGTGTCCCAGGCGATTGATGAGAAACAGGAGAAATGGCCACTCTAATCCTAAAGGTATGCGGTTATAGTAGTTAAAATAAATAATACGTGTGGGTCCTTTATGCAAAACAAGTTTTCTTACGTCACAAGATGTCATAGTTACAAGTTATGTATAAATGTAGGTTTTAGTTGACCACCAAGGGAATTTTAGAGTTTATCTACAGCAGATAAACTCGGATGAAAATTTACGTTTAAATGCGCAGAATAATTAAACACTCGCGGATCATGTATTATTTTAGCCGAAGTGCTTTAAGGAGAAGACGCAAGTGTATTTCTAGGTACATTGTAGAGTATTTTACATTTTATCATGGCTCGGCCGAAGTACAATTAAGCTGAAAAAAATGTGAGCTGGGAAGCCAATCGAACCTAGGACATGGAAAGAAAACACGGAAGTGAATATTTCCTTATCATATTTGTTCTTGCCGCTTTCACGTGTACAGCTTTTTAAATAATTTCACGTGATCACCGGTCGGTGTAGTCAAATTTACAGTTCCTTTTTAAAGTACAGAAACAACGATATGTGTAAAAAAAAAATGTTTACATTTGAGATTTATACTAGTAGTTTACAGTAAAAAATAATGCCCATTGACACTCACATACTAGTACGTTAAACCTCTTGGTGTATTTAATACTGCATTACATTTTATTCCGAAATACTTGTAGTTTGTTTCTGGTTTCACTATATTTTGTCAAACAAGTGTATTTGCGGTCTACCCTGCTATTATCGGGTTATTGATGTTCTGCACCGAAAATCGTTGTTTAAACCCCAATTCAGTAAGCAATCACCCAATGATAACATGTAATACATTTATGTAAATTATTAAAGCTCGAGACCAGAGGAATATTAGACAAAAACAAAATATGTATTTATAATAGTTAACATTGATATCAGCAAACTAGTGGACAATTGTTGGTCATTGTAAGACTTATTCGGGTATTTTTTTAAATCTACTCTTTAATGCTGATTTGCTTGGTTCTCACATTCACTCTTTCTACACTCACAACGGGATCTATGTTTTTTACAAACATTTAACATGGTTCATGTTTTCCGTGTACACATTTTATAAACATTGTCGCCAACAGATTGAACAGGAGTATAACGCACACTAGTACTAAAGGTGAACTATATATCTAGGTTGAAGAAGAAGAAAAAAAACACCGTCATACAAACTTATTTACGTAATTTTCCGTCATTATATATGCGCCAGAATGAATGACGAGTTAAGATGCAACGAACAATCAACAAAGATAATTAAGAACATGGTAAAATGAAGCTGCAAAGCTAGTTGATTTTCAACAATATGTAGTGATTTTTATTTCAATATCTGAAAAAAATAACTAAAAACAGAAGTGCATTTTTTTGCACTATAATTATATGGCATAGTGGTTAGAGGCCAAGTTGAGGTAAAGTTCGGTTAAATGCATGCACGGGTATAGTTATCGGTTGAATACCCGTCATTGAATTGTTTAAGTGCATTGTTCTGTCATGACCACGTGGCAAATTGGAAATATGAGCCACGATTGAAGCTGACACGAAAACAACAACCACTCTAAAAGTAACTTGTTACATTTCATGTTGAGATATCCTGTCTGACGCCAGGCGTTATCGGTGTACGGACTGCAGAGCTCTCGAACAACATACAAGCGAGACACACGGAGAGAAAAACACATATGCGACTGTTGAATATATTTTAAGACTGATATTGTCAACAGGTGAGTCAAAAGGGAGGGGACTAACAAACAACATAAACATAAATATCAAGCCTAGACAGCAGTGGCGAATTTCAGCTGCAACAATAATAACATCAACGACAACAATTACAACAACAACAACTGCAGCAGGACAACACAAACATCAATAATTTAAAACTTGTTGATCATTATCTATTGTACGATCATCTTAATGTCTTGCCGCCATGTTGCATCCTTGCCTGCGTCGCGTGGTCGTTAATAACTTCTTGTTTTGTTTTTTACGTTATATTAAAACTTGCGATGTATAAACTGCCTGTTAAAATATTGCAGACGCCAAAGTGAACGAATATCTTGCTTGTTGTTGTAAACGAGAGATGCGTTAAACAGACAATACTATTCAAAGACGCAATGTATCTATTAAACACCGCACCGAGTTGATTACGTTAGCACATCCTCAATTTCACGCCGAAGTATATAACCATGACAACCTGAATGTAGTCATATATGTAGCTATTTTCGCGTGATTAAGTCATTAGTATTTACTTCACAGATAGCGATGTCACAATACATATTTATTTACATACCAAATTCCTATAAGAGCAGCACCATAGACAGACTAGCCTCAAAAGTCGTCATGTCAAGGTAGACCCTGATTTATTCCCCCCAAAAATAAAGAGTTCAGCCGTTCTGCATGTGTATTTAGAATATAATCACAATGTCACATGACATCCACGCTGGAAATGAACATTAGGAAAGTGACAAGCCTCATGTGGATGTCAAATTTCCAAATGAAATGGAGGAAACAGCTAATACCGACATAACGCGGAGGTCAGGAAACGCGGAGGAAGGCGCAATTTCCCCCGTTCGTGCTGACTACATGCGAATACACTTTCCTGCGCCAGTTGTTTTCAAACTCGGCGAGTCGGTTACAACATCTCCTATTGTCGATTTTATTATGTTACTTTTACAGTTCATTTAGCCGCCTATTAAGCAACGAAAAAGGTTTTCGTCTTTTGTGCTGAGTAATAATATTGTACAGAAACGGGCATTATTTATTCGGGCTCTAACGACATCGTGCCACCGATCGTACATTTGCAGCTCGCGCGCTCTTGAACTTTGGGGAACGATTTTTACACAAGAGTGTACTATTTTTTTTTCACGCGCAAAATTGAGCGAAAACAAATATTGGAAATCAAGTTTAAAGTGTTGATGTACACACCGCCATGGCATAAAGCTTTATAACTCGTACGTTTGCCGAATCTAACTAATACTTTTTACCATCTGGGTATAACCACGAAACATACCGCCATTACCACATTCCGTTTAATATATGTGAGTAAGATGACAGTTGTATGATTTATAGCAAAGTAACACGAAGTATTGACGTAACCATTTATTTGCGCCACGCGGGCAATCTAACTATTGGTGTCAGTCACTTTAATATGACATATTTCATCGCCACCCGACTCCACTATCGTAGATCCCAGCAATCACATTTGGTAAGTGAACAGTAATTAAAAAAATGCGAAGAAAATCACGCACTTGTTTTATTTGAGTGGAAAGAGAATATATGTATATTTTCAAACATGACGACCACTTTGAATGAATTATATTTGACGAGTGTTTAATAAAAGACACAACGAATATTATTATTCACATTCACCGTGCCAGTATGTCATTAGTGCAACTGTTTATATATTCGTATACACATGTTAGTGAAAAGTTTTCAGGTAAACAATATTTAATACATTACGTTAGCATTTCAGTTATTAATATCCACCTACTAAAAAATTGGTCCATATCCGCGATAATGCCCGCAGGCCTGACTGATGTATCCCACCCACGGTGACCCCGTTTTCGAGAATTTTCTCATAATCTCAAAAGTCAACAAATTTATATAATTTTAACCACATTGTTACGATTTTTGGCGACCGTTTTGACATTGTTATCAGTTAAAAGTAAGATTTAATTTGAATTGTTGAGATATTCTTTGTAAATGTCAATTTGTGTGAGATATTATACGATTTCTCCATTCTGCGGTTCGTAATAAAATATTTGATTCATATTAGCTCAAATAAACAACCAGTTGGCGAGTTTTATGTTCAACTATTTAAAAACCACATACATGTACATTCATGCAAATTGTGGTATTCACCAAGGCGCCGTTGATTTTGACTAATGTGACGGAACTAAATCCTGATTTGACATATAAAATTCGTTTTTTTTTTTCATGAAAAATGAATTTCAATCTATTATTGGTTTGACCCGAGATCGTAACTAAATTTGTTTTATTTCACGGCGGAATGTTACCTTCCAGTGAACTCGGAGATCATGTTGATTTGCGAGTTTTGTTGAAAGCCATGCAGGCCATCAAAATAGTTGACGCCAATAAACAATTATGTCCATGCATTTCCAATTGCTTTGAAATATCTTTACAATTTATCTAACATTTGTACTTTTTTTTTACTAAATTTGAAATTCAGGAGTCATTATTATAGGTTTAGTATGTACACGTCAACAGAAACAACTTGTATCCACGCGAGATGTTATAGCGCAGTGACGGCGGCACAAAATTGTGCATGCAGGGGCGAGATCTGCTCACCAACCCGGGGCATGATGCTCCCCCTTAAAAAAATGAAATATAGACTCTGAAACGCTATTTCCTGCATTTTTAGGGGCAACTTTTGCTTGACACAAAGGGTTTCAGCTTGATTTTGGAGGGGCGAAGCCTCCCAACATTTTTTTCGTCGCCTCCTGTGTCGCCGCCACTGTAGCGAGATATCGTCAGTAAACGCAACGGGAAAATAACAAAAGTGTGTTCACAGTCTCAGTCTATTGTGCGGTTTTATCCACCGTGGCATGATAACGATGGGTGTATTGAGCAATGGACTGAATATAACAACTATTATATTTAATTATCTATTTACAAGGATTACAAGTTCACTCACAAAAAACACGTTGCTGCCCGTGACGAAAGAACAATTACTATAACGTAGTGGGGCATAATGTGCTCAAAACATCGAACGAGCTGTGTTAACTGTCATTAGTATTGACGTCTCCCGCCCATCTTCAATTACACCTTGTTTATATTAATCGCATCTGAGTATGTATAAATTATATATTAGGAGATGCTCTAATGATAGCAATCCGGCACTTCGGTGGATGGTATATTATCTGACAATCGGCACGTCATTTTAATGAATTTCCAGTGAGAATAAGTAATGGATTCTCGTAGTTTGCTTACCGGACAAATGTTGTATTTTTATAGTATTGTTTATACCTCGGTCATTACAAGTTGCTACACTAAATGCTATCAAAACAATAAAAATGGACAAACTATTCATCTGTTTGTCCTTAAATTAATTAAATTACAGTCTCTGCGTGTACACCCACAACGTGGTGTTTACGGGTCGAACGCTGAATTGAACTTGGTTATGACGAACGGCCAGTCTTTCGTTATTTTGCCAAAAAAATCACGATCGAGCCGTAATTACGTTCTTCGTATGCACTACGGCATGACAACGCATTTTAATGTTTGTCGTTTTATAAATTAAATTGAAGTCTCTGCGTGTACACTCACAATCTGGTGTATACGCGACGACCGCTGAATTAAACTTGGTTAAGATTAACGAACAATCTATCGTTATTTGGCAAATAAAGAACAATCGAGCCGCAAACGACGTTCTTCATGCTCACTACGGAGTGACAACGTATTTTAATGTAATATGTCATTCTATTTTCGCACATATATCGGTCTTGACATTTCAGCGCTATGATATATCCGTTATTGTCGCGATCGGGGACGATTGCAGGACTCGACACACAGAGAGCGCCGCCGCGGATTGCAGAAGGTATAACTCATCTGAAAAGAATGTCAATCAAAATAAATTTAATGAAATGAAAAGGGCTTTCTATGACAGTCTCACCAGGGTAGGCAATCTCCCACATGCCGGCGGTTTGTAACCTTAGTTTGCAATTTAATTTCATCGAATGCCGTGGCTAGTCAGTGATCACAGCGCTGGAGATGACATCGATGATCAGTTAGTGTAGCCTATATACAGCAATTATTGCCGAGTACTGTACGTCTACATGCACCACCTACTAGACAAATGCAATTAAATCACGCCGAGATTTCTTTCAATTAACATTAAAGAACACTTGAAGGCAGGAGGAGGAAGATTACTGCCCACTGCAAAGCAATTTGCCGGATAAAGACACCACATGCATTCGTTCGATTAAAGCATTTACTATTCATGTCTGGTGAGTCAGTAGAAACACATACTTGGATGACAATTACAAATGACGAAATACTTCGTCAAGTTGCAGCTGTCACGGCGCTTAGAGAGGACAGTTGGAATATACCCGGATGTGACAGACTGTATAAAGCCAGTACTGCCGAGCCGCAGATAAATCGCCTTACGAATTCACTAAACGACGACAAACTCGATAACTCGATAATAATTTTTGAGAAAGTTTGTCATCAATTGGACAGTAATGTGTATTTGTTTATTATATACTATATTGGAACTGTAGTTTCATGGTAACTCGAAACAACATTCTCAGTTTTATATAGTATTACACCTTGAGAAAAATGTCCAAAATACTATTAAAACACTGTTTGTTGGATAGAACACAGGAAAGAATTCAGAATAACAAACATACCCCATCAGTAATGATACACGTTTTTTTTTTCGCTCTGTATCAGCGTGGTCAATTTGTGATATGGCATAATACCTCTACGACAGCCTGAACAAACAGCAAACGCGTTCTGATACCGGTCCAAGGGCCGCCGTTTAATATAGCAATCATTTTCCCGAGAAACAAATAAGCAAAGCCAACATATCTATATTGACCAGAAAGACAATTTATTGCAAATTGGACAGATTCTTGGTATGTTCAATAATTATGGATAACCAGTTACTGTAACACAGAATGAGTCGTGAAATGTTGCAGGTGTAGTTTATTTTAGCACGGTTCGTTCATGTGTCTCGGTAGTTATAGTTATGAGAATAGCAAAACAA